CCCAGCCAGACCGAGAAATTTGGACAGCAACTTCATCAGGTTAATAGGCCAGAAAATTTTTAATGCAAAATGATCTATTCTACAACAAATTATTCTAAAAGTCTAAAATCAAATACAAGAAAGGAATTTTAAAAGCAGCAAGATAGAGATGTAGTGAAAAGAAGGGTCATATGTACCCCAATGGTCACAGCAGCAATGTCCACAATAGCCAAACTGTGGAAAGCACCAAGATGAATAAAGCAGATGTGGTCCATATACACAATGAAATATTATTCAGCCATCAGAAAGGATGAATACCCAATTTTTGAATCAACATGGATGGGATTGAAGGAGATTATGCTAAGTGAAAGAAGTCAAACAGAGAAAGTCAATTATATAGTTTTACTTATTTGTGGAACATAACTAATAGCATGGAGAACATTAGGAGAAGGAGGGGAAAGATGAAGTAGGAAAAGTCAGGGTGGGAGATGAACCATGAGAAACTATGGACTCTGGGAAACAAACTGAGGGTTTTAGAGGGGAGGGGGTGGGGGGATGGGTGAGCCTTGTGATGGGTATTAAGAAGGATACAGATTGCATGGAGCACTGATTGTTATGCACAAACAATGAATCATAGAACACTACATCAAAAACTAATGTATTATATGGTGAATAATACAACACACAAAAAAAATCGTTGAATGACTAAATACCCCTTTAGGAATAAAATACAAATCACAAGACCTTCCTATAAATAAATAAATAAATACATATATGATTTTTTGGAAACTTTTTTTTTTAAAGCAACAAGAGAAAAAAATACTCTTATACAAAGGAAACTGCATAAAGCCATCAGTGGATTTCTCAGCAGAGACTTGGTAAGCAATGAGACAATGGAATGCTATATTTAACATGCTAAAAGAAATTGTAAATGAAGAATATTTTATCCAGTGAAGGTGCACTTCATAAAATAAGGCAAAAGGGACACCTGAGTGGCTCAGTTAGTTAAGCATCTGCCTTTGGCTCAGGCCATGATCCCAGAGTCCTGGGATCTAGCCCCACATCAGGCTCCTTGCTCAGCAGTGGAGTCTGCTTCTCCTTCTCCCTCCTGCTTATTCTCTCTCTCTTTCTCTCTCTCTCATGTAAATAAATAAAAGCCTTAAAAAAATAAAGGCAAAATAAAATGTTCTTTAACTAACAAAACCTAACAGAGATCATTACCAATAGACCTGTCTTTAAATAAATGCTGAAATGAGTTCATAAGCTGAAAATGATGCTAATTAGTAACACTAAAACACGTGAAATTATATAATTCATATGGAACTATATGAAACATATGAAATATACAATACACTGCTAAGTATATGAAATATACAGTACACTGATAAAGGTAAACATGCAGTCAGATTCAGAATACTCTAATATTGTAATGAGGTGGAGTTTAATAATGTAGCATTAGTATAAACACTAGACAACTAAAACACTAAAAATAGTTCTGGCTATCATAATTTGTTAATGTGAAAAAGTTAAAAACATGTAGCTGGATTGAATTCTCCAATCAAAAGACAAAACTAAACTACCTACTGTCTACAAGGGGATCACCTAAGCTTTAAGGACACATGGATTTTAAATAAGGGAATCAGGAGTTAAGATGGCAGAGTAGTAGCAGGAAATATGCTTGTCTCATCCCTTGAACATAGCTAAATAAATATCAAATCCTTCTGAACACCCAAGATATTGATGTGAGAACTGAGAGAACAAACTTCACAACTAGAGGGAGTAAGAGGTCACATTGTGGAAAGTAGAAGGTGCATAGATATGACTTGGGGAGAAAAGGTTCATGGGTACTGCAAAGGGAAGGAAGAACTGATCAAAGAGAGAAGAGAAAGAGAGAGAACAACATGCAGTTGGTTGCACAAGAAAAACATAACATTTCCTTAAATCCATTTACTGGGAAAAAGAGAGGGGCTAATTATTGCAAGTTTTTACAACCAATGGAACTCAAAGTCTGAAGTTTCAGATATCCACACAACACTTGATCAAGGCTGGAAGGCACAGTGGTGTTCCTGTGGAGAAGGAGGGCAGAGGCACAGGAGTGAAGAGTGTGGTTTGAGGATACCCTGGGTCACACTGGGAAAGAGAGTTCCCCTTTGGGGAGTGGTGGCACTGTCTCTCAGGTGACAAAGACACTGGCAGTACCATTGTGCTTCCCTCCTCTTTATCATGGGAGCAGAGACACCTGCTGAGGGCAGTTAACTTAGACACATATTTTTGCTGAACTTCACCATAAGCTCTAAGTCCCTGAAAGTTTTTGTGACTGCAATTCTGGGACAAACCAGTACCAGCCACAGCTTAGTGAGACCCTCCCACAGAGGATCAGCATGGGCCCATGTTATTCTAGGACCTTAAAATTTGGAGTTTGAAACCCTACCAGAGAGCCTGAGATAAAACACAGGAGCACTGCACAGCAGGTGGCCAGAAGACCCAGACACAGATAGGGTGAAGACAGGGATCTGAAAGTTGCCTAGTAAATAGGAGGGGAGATTGTTAGCTCTTCTGTGAAGGATTCTTGAACAGCAGTGGGTGCAAATTCCCCTCTTCAGGGACAAGAGAGCAGGCTAATGCAATTTTCACCCTACCCATCAGCATAGTTGAATTTCAGAGAGTGACAAAGGAACCACACTGGAGGCATAAGCTGCTTAAACTACCCATACTCCTCTGCACTCTGCAGATGCTTTTGGTACCAGGGCAAGTGTACCTGAGATCCAGAGCAGCAGTGGGTCCCTCTGCAAAACCAGCATAAATCCCATGCATGCACTGAGTCTACTGACCACAGAGATCTTCAAAGACTTAGCTCTACTGGAAATACAGTCTAGCCTTTATTAACAGGCAGACCAAAACACAGTTAAAACTCACCACACATTGAACAAGACCCAAAAACTCCCCAAGCAGTCAAGGAGAAACTCTGCAGAGGACTGAAATGAAGGAAAAAATCAGCCAAAACACAACAGCAGAGTGTACACCGCATACACCAGAACTACTTCCTGATGTGCCAGGCCCTAGAATCTGTATGCCCTCTTCTTAATAAAGCCATTACTCTCAGAAGCAGCAAACATAAGAGGTGGTCCTAAAACACAGAAGATGGAGACAGGGGGAAAAAAATGCCAAAACTGTGTAATTCATTTCAGAAAAAAAAAAAAAAAAGATAAGATAATCAAAACAGATATAAGTATCATGCCTGATCCAGAATTTAAAGCAACAATCATAAGGATACTAGCTGGGCTTGAGAAAAGCAGAGAAGACACCAGGGAGTCTCTTACCACAGAGATAAAAGACCTAAAAACCAGTCAGCCCAAAATAAAAAGTGGTATAGCTGAGATACAAAACTGACTGCTGTAATGACCATAAGGAAAGAAGAATCACAGGAATGAATAAGTGATATAGAGGATAAAATTATGGAAAATAATGAATGCAAAAAGAAGAGTCAAAGAAAAAGTATTGGATCACGAATGAAGACTTAGGGAACTCAGCAAATCCATAAAGCATAACAATATTGGTGTCATAGGAGTCCCAGAAGAAGAAAGAGAAAAGGGGGCAGAAACTTAAACTGCAGAAATTATAGCTGAAAACTTCCCTAAATGGCTAAGGAGACAGACATCCAAATCTTGGAGGCACAGAGAACTCCTCTCAAAAAAAAAGGGAGTTTGGGAACATTAACCAAGCTGTGCAAGAAATATTAAAGTGACTCTTTGAGTGGGAAAGCAAGACCAAAAGCAACAAAAACTAGAAAGGAACAGAGAATCTTCCCCATAAACAATGACTTCACAGGTAATACAATTGAATTATATGAATTAAATTCATATCTATCAATAATTACATGGAGTATAAATGGACCAAATGCTCCAATCAAAAGATGTAGGGTATCAGAATGCATTAAAAATAAACAAGACCTATCTTTATGCTGCCAACTTAATATGGACCTAAAGACAACAACAGACCGAAGTGGGGGGACAGAGAAACATTTATCATGCTAATGGATGTCAAAAGAAAACTGGAGTAGCCATACTTACATCAGACAAATTAGATTTTAAACAAAGACTGTAACAAGAGATGAAGAAGGGCATTATACCGTATTAAAGGGGTCTATCCAACAAGGAGACCTAACAATTGTATATATTTATGTCCTCAACTTGGGAGTAGCCAAATATATAAGTCAATCAATAACAAACATAAGGAATCTCATTGATAATGATTTAATAATAGCAGAGGACTTAAACACTTCACTTACTGCAACGGACAGATCATCTAAGCAGAAAATCAACAAGGAAACAATGGATTTGTATGATACATTGGACTGGATGGACTTAACATACATACCGAGAACATTTCATCCTAAAGCAGCAGAATATACATTCTTTTCAAGTGCACAAGGAACATTCTCCAAGATAGAGCACATATTGGGTCAAATCATGCCTCAACAAATACAAAAATATGTAGATCGTATCACTCATCCTTTTTGACCACAAAGATATGAAACTTGAGGTCAACCAGAAGAAAAAAATGTGGAATGACCACGCATACATGGGGGTTAATGAACATCCTACTAAAGAATGAATGGGCCAACCAAGAAATTAAGGAAGAAATTTAAAAGTACATGGAAGCCAGTAAAAATGAAAACACAATTGTCTAAAACCTTTGGGATGCAGCAAAAATGGTCCCAAGAAGGAAATATATAGCAACACAGGCCTACATTAAGAAGCAACAAAAGTCTCAAATACACAGCCTAATCTTACACCTATAGGAGCTAGAAAAGGAAAAGCAAATAAAGCCTCAACCAGTAGAAGGAGAGAAATAATAAAGATTAGAGGAGAAATAAACGGTATAGAAACAAAAAAATCATAGAACAAATCATTGAAACTAGGAGCTGGTTCTTTAAAAGGATTAATAAAATTGATAAGCCCCTAGTCAGATTTATCAATAAGAAAAGAGAAAACAACCTCATTAAATAAAATCACGAATGAAGCTTTGCACAGTGGCAGTATCGTAGCCAGTGAGGTTAATCTGAGGCGCGATTATTGCTAATTGAATAAAATCACGAATGAAAATGGAGACATCACAACCAACACTACAAAATAAAAACAATTATGAGATTATGAAAAATTATATGCCAACAAATTAGGCAATCGGAAAGGTATGGATAAATTCCAACAAACATATAAACTACCAAACCTGAAACAAGGAGAAATAGAAATAGAAAATTTGAATAGACTCATAACCACTAAAAAAATTAAAATAGTAATCAAAACTTTCCCAAGTACTACAAAAAAAGTCCAGGGCTAGATGACTTCCCAAGGGAATTCTATCTAAAGAATTCTATTTGTTATGCTCCACAAATAAGTGAAACTATATGATAATTGACTCTCTCTGCTTCACTTATTTCACTCAGCATAATCTCTTCCAGTCCCATCCATGTTGCTACAAAAGTTGGGTATTCATCCTTTCTGATGGAGGCATAATACTCCATAGTGTATATGGACCACATCTTCCTTATCCATTCGTCCGTTGAAGGGCATCTTGGTTCTTTCCACAGTTTGGCGACCGTGGCCATTGCTGCTATAAACATTGGGGTCCAGATGGCCCTTCTTTTCACTACATCTGTATCTTTGGGGTAAATACCCAGTAGTGCAATTGCAGGGTCATAGGGAAGCTCTATTTTTAATTTCTTGAGGAATCTCCACACTGTTTTCCAAAGTGGCTGCACCAACTTGCATTCCCACCAACAGTGTAAGAGGGTTCCCCTTTCTCCACATCCCCTCTAAGAAGGGAGTTGTGGGAAATTGGAAGGAGAGGTAAACCATGAGAGACTATGGACTCTGAAAAACAATCTGAGAGGTTTGAAGGGGCAGGGGGTGGGAGATTGGGGGAACCAGGTGGTTCCTGGTTAGAGAGGTATTAGAGAGGGCACGGATTGCATGGAGCACTAGGTGTGGTGTAAAAACAATGAATACTGTTATGCTGAAAATAAAAAAAAAACATAATTAGTCACACAAACATTTCACAATTAAATACGGTGATAGGTGTCATGTACTACTACAAATAATAAGATAGCTTTCATATCTCAAGACAAAAAAATCTGTTACCTTCCCTAATTTGAAAAGTTAAAGGCTGAAAGGTTATAAAGTAATGTATATATGAATTAAGTATTCTCTACACAAAAAATAATGATTTGTCTAATGATGATTTGAAAATGCTCTTTTTTAATCACATACATAGCCTATTGTGTTCAGTACCAAAACTGTACCTCATTCCTCTGAAATGTATCCATGTACTAAAGAGGACAATTTTTGTTCCTGTAAAAAACATTTAATGTCATCTGTTTTTAAAAATTGTTCTTAACCTTTACGCTAAGGAAAATAATATTCATATGAATTTAAATAGCTTGAAATCTCATAGTATTCACATGAAAAGTAATTACTGTGAAACTGGGGCCAATTATTTTTAACTTTTACTCAGAATTTTAAGTGATATCAAAATTCAAAATACATTTTGTTTTCTGACACTTGTGCACACATTTGATCTCCATATGTACTGATGCTATGCAAGGACATTTTTATTGAAACCATCCCTGTAAATATAAATTGAGTAACTATACCTGGAAGTAAATTAAGTTGGAAAAGTTCAGCCATTTAATTGATTTTTTTTCTATATGATGTATGGTATTTTCTTATGGCATATAAAGTGATAAAATTGGTTATTTTTTTTCATATCCCAAATGGGTTCAGTCAATGAGGGGGAAAAAAGATAGTTAAGTCTAGTTACAAAATATCATTGTCCATCGCCCCCTAAAAATTAATAAAATTTATTTAAAATTAAAATAAGAATTCTATCTAAAGAAGAGTTAACATCTATTCTTCTCATACTGTTCCATAAAATAGAATTGGAAATGAACTCCTAAACTCATGCTATGAAGCCAGCATTACCTTGACTCCAAAACCAGGAAAAGACACCAATGAAATGAGAATTATAGGCTAATATCCTTGATGAGAATGGATGCAAAAATTCTCAATAAGGTACTTAAGAAATTGAATCCAACAGGACATTAAAAGAATTATTCACCATGATCCAGTGAGATTAATTCCCGGGGTTCAAGTTTGATTCAATAGTTCCAAATCAATTATTGTGATACATCACATAATATAAGAAAGGATAATAATCATATGATCCTCTCAATAGATGCAGAAAAAACATTTAAGAAAATATGGAATCCATTATTGATAAAATCCCTGGACAAAATAGGGAGAGAGGGGACATAATGCAACATCATAAAAGCCATATAGGAAGGCTCCACTTCTCATATAATCCACAATGGGGAAAAACTAAGAGCTTCTCCTTTATGGACAGGAACAAGACAAGGATGTCCACTCTCACCATTTTTAGTTAATACAATACTGAACTCCCTAGCCTTCACAATCCAAAAACAAAAAGAAATAAAAAGCATCCAATTTGATGAGGAAGAAGTCAAATTTTCAATCTTCACAGATGAAATGATACTGTATGTAAAAAACCCCAAAGCACCAAAAAATTGCTAGAACTGATACATAAATTCAGCAAAGTTGCAGGATATAAAATTGATGTACAGAAATCCATTGCATTTCTATACACCATTAATGAAGCAGGAAAAAGAGAAATAAAAGAATAGATCCCATTTCCAAATGCACCACAAACCATAAGATACCTAGTAATAAATGTAACAAATGAGGTAAAAGATCTATATTCTAAAAACTTTAAGATGTTTATAAATTAAATTGAAGATGACACAAAGAAATGGAAAACTTTCCATGTTAATCTATTGGAAAAGTAAATATTGTTAAAATGTTTATACTACCCAAAACAACCTATATGCTTAAAGAAATCCCTATCAAAATACCAAGAGCATTTCTCACAGACTTAGAATAAACAATCCTAAAATTAATATGGAACCACAAATAGATGCTGGATAGCTAAACAATCTTGAAAATGAAGAACAAATGAGGAGGCATCATAATTCTTGACTTCAAGCTGTATTACAAAGCTGTAGTCATCAGGAATGGGTGGTACTGACACAAAAATAGACATGTAGATCAATGAAATAGAATAGAAAACCCAGAAATGCACCCACAACTATGTGGTCAATTAATCTTCAACAAAGAGGGAAAGAATATCCAATTGATAAAAGCAGTCTCTTTAACAAATGCTGTTGGGAAGACTGGACAGCACCATGTAGAAGAATGAAACTTGACTGTTTTCTTATACTATATACAAAAATAAACTAAAAATGAATGAAAGACCTAAATGTGAGACAGAAAACCATAGAAATCCTAGAGGAGAGCACAGGCAACAACTTCTTTGACATAGTATGCCTTAGCAACTTTTTATTAGACATATTGCCAGAGGCAGGGATAAAAAAGCAAAAATAAACTATTAGAACTTCATCAAGATAAAAAGCTTCTGCACAGTGAAGGGAGCAATCAATGAAACTAAGAGGGAACCTATAGAATGAGAGAAGATATTTGCAAATGACATTTCTGATAAAGGCTTAGTTTCCAAAATCTATAAAGAAATTATCAAACTCATCACCCCCCAGAAAAAAAACAAGTAATCTAGTTAAGAAATGGACAGAAGTCATGAATAGACTTTTTTTTTAAATGAAGATACACAGATGGCTAACAGACACATGAAAGTTGCTCAACACCACTCATCATCAAGGAAATACAAATCACATCCATGATGAGATACCACCTCACAGCAGTCAGAATGGCTAACATTAACAATACAGGAAACAATATGTTGACAAGGATGCAGAGAAAGGGAAACACTCTTCGTGGGAATACAAACTGATGGAGCAAACCTGGAAAACAGTATGGAGTTTCCTCAAAAAGTTAAAAATAGATATATCCTACAACCTAGCAATTGCACTAATAGGTATTTTGGCAAAGGATGCAAATATCCTGATTTAAAGAGACATATCCACCCCAATGTTTATAGCAGCATTGTAAACAATAGCCAAATTATGGAAAGGGCCCAAATGTTCATCAACAGATGAATGGATAAAGAAGTAGTACACACACACACACACACACACACACACTCAAACACACACATACGGGAATATTACTCAGCCATCAAAATAATGAAATCTTGCCACTTGCAACAACCTGAATGGAGATGGTGTGTATTATGATACATAAATGAAGTTCAGTCAAAAAAGGACAAATACCATATTAGTTAACTTATATATGAAATTTAATAATTCTATAGAATTTCCAGAGGAAAGAGGTAAACATAGGGAAAGGAAAAAATAGTGGGAGGCAAACCAGAAGAGAATCTAACTACCAAGAACAAACAGGGTTAACAGAGGGGATGTGGTTGTGGGATGGACTAAATAAGTGATGGGTATTAAGGACAGCAGTTGTGAAGAGCACTGAGTATTATACACACACGATGAATCACTTAAATTCTACTCCTGAAACCAATATTACACATCTAGAATTTAAATAAAAACTTCATAGAAAAAAAAATAAAGGGATGAGAAAAGATACTTCATGCAAATGGAAAACAAAAGGGAACAAGATATGTATACTTAGCTACAGACAAAATATACTTTGAGCCAAATACAGTAACAAGAGGATAATGTTATTATATAATAAAAATGGATAAATTAAAAAAAGAATATATAATAATCATAAATATACATGCATCCAATATTAGACTACATATATATGTGAATTAATACTAACAGATTTGAAGAAAGGAACAGACAGTACAATAATATTAGGAGCATTAATACCCACTTTTAACAACAGATCATTCAGAAAACATGGTGCCTGGGTGGATCAGTGGGTTAAGTCTGCCTTCGGCTCAGGTCATGATCTAAGGGTCCTGGGATCAAGCCCCACATTGGGTTTTCTGCTCAGCAGGGAGCCTGCTTCCCCCTCTCTCTCTGCCTGCCTCTCTGCCTACTTGTGATATCTCTCTCTGTCAAATAAATAAATAAAATCCTTTTTAAAAAGAAAGAAAAAAAGCAATGTGTAAGTGTTGGGCCAAATAATATTTTTAAAATATTTTACTTATTTATTTTTAGAGAGAAAGTGTGTGAGCAAGGGGAAGGGTAGAGGGAGAGGAAGA